AACATTTTGCAAAGAGTCGTAAACGTAGACGACGTGTAAGACGTGACGAAAAGTTGTCGATGTATCTCGTCGCGATGCGTACACTGAGAAAAAACGGTCGAGTCGACAGAATCGGCGATTACCTCCTCGTTTAAGAGGATACTGAAGTCGATCACGAACTCGAACAACGTCGATAACGCAGGAACAATCATCACTAATACAATCACGCTATTCTTTTCGAATTTCTTATACATACAGAATTTATATAACTAGAACATTACAGGCGTGCGCTATTTAGTATCTTTATTATTATAATAATCTTTTAAATTACCTTATAAAATTACCTTATTCTTACCCTTATTTTTGCCTAAATAATATGTTTCTCTCTTTATCTGCCCTTTCTTTTTTCTCTTTCTACTCTTCTATTCTCTATTCTTCTATTTTTATAATTTATATCTCTTCTGTATTCTTTTCTTCATGAGCTAACCAACACGATGACAGTTATTTACCTGATAATTTGACAGGCGCAAACGACATGAAGTAAGCCGCAGCTCACATGAAGTGAGCTAAGCGAGAGAACCAATCAGCATCGCGAAAAAGCGGCAATAATTAAATCTCTTACATGCCTTTTCTTAGAGTGGAATGTATATAGCTTTGTTTTACCATATTCAGCAGAAAACCTAATCACGCATGTGTAGGAATGTTTCTGCAAACTTTTTGGACATTCTAAGCTTCTAAAGTCAGATGTGGCAATGTTCTTCAGAATTTTTTTGTTTGAAGCATCCACACTTTCGGTACATACAAACTGCGGAACTTTTAGGTTAGGCAAGTATTACACTAATTGAGATTTTATACTTGAAATTTCTTTTTCGTTTTCGTCACATATTGAGCAATGTTTAATTTATTTTTGGACGTACTTTTATTGTGTAAAAGCATTTGTAATTATACTGTACGTCCAATACGATGTGAATTTTACAGAAAAATATCAATGTTCTGTCGGTAAAGTTTTCAGCTTCAGTATCCCTTTAAGGGAAAAATGTATCCATTAAATAAATTGTACGTTGGCCCAGCAATACGCGTTGCTTACACAACACTGTATGTCTCAAACAAGTTTTAACCCATTAGCGCCTAAATATGCTGAAATTTTACGTTGATGTGAGCCATTTATTTTATTACGGAAATGAGGTCTGTTGTTTATAAAGAATACCATTTCTACCAATTTCGATGTAGCTCTATTGAATAGCATTGAGAAAATTTAAAAAGGCGCAATTTATGCAAAAATTTTTGCAAAATAAAATTAAAAAACGCATGTTTTTAGAGTTAATTTTTCCTTCTTCCGCTATTTTTTATATAAAAACATGTTAGTATCATTCAGGAAAGTGTCTAAAACGTGTTCCCGACACATTAAGTTAAAAAATATGCCATAGGTATTTTTTTCAACAAACATGGCGGTACCAAAATGACGGTTGATTTGAAGCGTTTAATTTGAATTTTTGTTTATATTTGGTTATCGAAATTGTTTTAAGGTCGACACTACTACAAAATTACATAGTAATTTATATAGTAATTTACATAATAATTATATAGTAAAACAATTTCGACTATCAAATATAAATGAAAATTCGAATTAAACATTTCAAATTGATCGCTATTTTGGTATCGCCATGTTTGTTGAAAAAAATACCCATGGTATATTTTTTAAGTTAAAATGTCGAAAACATGTTTTAGACACTTTCTCGAGCAAAACACGTTTTTATGGAGAAAATAGCGAAAGAAGAAAAAATTAGCCCCAAAGACATACGTTTTTGTATTTTATTTTATAAACATTTTGCATAAATTGCGATTTTTTTTTTAATTTTCTCAAAGCTGTTCGATAGAGCGACATCTAAATTGGTAGTAATGATACTCCTTATAAACAACAGACCTCATTTCCGTAAATGTAAATAAGTAAGTAAGTAAATGACTCAAATAAACATAAAATTTCAGCACATTTGGGCGTTGATGAGTTAAAGACGTTCAAAACACATTTAAAAAAGTAGGGCATCTTTGGAAAGTTTTTAATACATTTCTGGGACACGCCTGTTATGTGAGTTGTGTTGATGTAATTGCTGATCAAAGCTTATCCATTTAATTAATTGATAATTCTTTGTAGCAAATATATAATTTAATATTAGAGGCTTTAGCGGTATAGGGAAATACATCTTAAGTATATACTTAAAAAAAACAATATGTCACCTTTAGCTGAATTCTCGTATATATAACTTCAAAAAGACTTTTCTAAAACCAAAAGAAAAATATATTAAGCACAATATTATTTCTCTTCATTAGAATAGAAATACTATTCTTAGTATTTCCACAATTAGGGTTATCCGAGTATTTTAGTCATTACACAAATATTTGTTATACAAGTACAAATATTTCTCAAAATTGTCCGAATGTTTATTCAGTTGTTTATTCTTTTTTAATCATTCTTTTTTTTTTATTTATTCTTCATTCTTTCCCGCTCTCTCTTATTCTATCTTTCTCCTCCTCTTTCGCCTACTCTCTCTCTCTCTCTCTCTCTCTCTCTCTCTGCAAAAATATTTCTGTGCAAAAATATTAAGATAAACTCAGCAAAGTTTCTTAGAAAATAAAATTACACAAAATAGCACTTTACAACTATAATTCTTTTTTTGGCTGTTAGAATATTTTCTATTTAATTTAAAAAAAAGAATCCTCTTGAGACAAGAGGACTTGTGTCTGACACAAGAGGATTTTGTTAAAAGTTTGATTATATTTTTTTGAGTATACTAAAACTGGATATATTCAAATATCTAATTGTTCACTCCCATTATTATTTTTTCTTATATATTTTTTGTCATTTATTTGCTTCCAACTGAACCAAAAGAAAACGCAGCTCCAACCTCGAAAACCAAATCTAGCAACTATACAATTTGTTCAACCGAGCACAAGTGTTTATCCAGACATATTTTGTTCCTAAAAGCAAGTCTCTCTCGTAACTTTTCGATTCCGTATTTTTTTCCCCCAGTGTTGTTCCTTGCCCCAAGACGCAATTTTGGGAAATTTGATCAAAATTAAAAAGCTACCTCGATTGCTTCGTTTGACGAGTAATCACTCGATGCGCCGTTTCGACACGTCGAGTTGACGCAAATTAATTTGAGGACGGATTAATCGATGCTCCGGACAAGTGAAACCTCGATGTCAATCGTGTGGTTGCACGCGAACCGAAAATTGATAACTCGGTAACCGTGAATCAACGCGAATACGCAAACAGACGGATCTGTCAGATCTCGCTGTCGCTTTAATCGTAATTATCGCACGCGATAGTGACGAGCCGCTCGTCGCGAGAGCGACACACGTCACGACGAAGAGGCCGGGCTACGGAGGCGAGCTGGACGAGCGCAACCGCAGTTTTCAAGGTAAATGCGGGGGTCTCGAAGTGGGTTGAGGCTGGAGAGTCTCATCTTTTTATATCACGGCGTCGCGCGCTGCAATGGATCTTTTTGCACGGGCGAAAGTAAGATGACTCTTCTGCGAGTCGATTTTGCTTGGAAACTCTGCCGAGTCGGTGTCAATTCGGGTTATCTGGTTTTTTTAGTTTTTACACAAGTACTCGAGTATTTCTCTGGAGTTGCTTGTTCTTATCGTTATCTTTTCTTATTTATTTTTTCTCTCTCTCTCTCTCTCTCTCTCTCTCTCGCTCTCTCGCTTACTCTCTCGCTCGCTCATTCTCTGCAAAAGTAAAGGTAAAGGTAAAGTTAAGGTAAAGTCAGCAAAGAAATAAATAAGATGTTTTACGAAATTTTTTATCAAAATACGTAAAAATAAAATGTAAAGTATTCACTTTTTGTTGACTTACCCATACAGGTTGTTCGGTAACTCACAGAGAAACCGTAATGTATGTACAGGTAAATTAGGTCAAACGGAATAAAAAATTTCTACATCATTTTGTGAACAACCATGTAAAATTCTAAGTTATTAAGGCTCCTGACATTCTTTATCTCTTTTTAATAACGTTAGAAGCGAGAAAATGCATGCTAAAAATTCTCGCGAAATACATTGAAATAAATATATATATCCATAAAGCAATACTTGCAATCAATTAAACAAATTTGTAAGATATTTCGTGCACTCTCCTTTTGTTCTAACAAGCAATAAATTATTGTAAATTAATCTGAATAGAAATAGACGAAGTAATAGATTAAGAAGATGAATTGTATGTCACGTTAATTTATGACAAATTATTGATTGTTAAAGCAAAAGGAAAGTGCATGGAATATCTTACAAATTTGTTTAATCGATTGCAAGTGTTACTTTATGAATATATATTTTTATTTTAACGTATTTTGCAAGAATTTTTAGCATGCATTTTCTCGCTTCTGATGTCATTAAAAAGTGATAAACAATGCGAGAGGCCAGGAGCCTTAATAAAAGAAGATTCGTGAATGATCACGCGCTATATGAGCTGTGATGGCGACGTCTGCAGCAATATAACAATATAATTAAAACTCTCTTAGACTGCAAAATCAAGTATATGGAATGTTTCAGCCTCTTAACTTCCTAGCATACTAGTCGCAAGTAGATCGCAGTCTGTAGTCGTGATTAGATTATACACATGGTACAATAACTCAATGTACCTATTAGTCTACTTTTCCAACTAGTCTTTTTAGCTAATCAATTTAAATGTTCGCGGTGGAAGTAACAATTTAACTGTACCTCCTAACTAAGTTTCAACAAATGTATGAGATAGTAAGCTATTTGAAGCAAGAGTCTTCAGCTAATGCCAAAAGAAGCAAAATGTAAATAGGGTTGTGAGAAACAAGAAACTTACGTCTGTCTTAAGAAAATAAAATAACTGTAGCAGCCTTTATTTCGTCAAGAATCATTTCTTACCATAAAAAGTGCTTTTTCTCGAGAGAAAGTCTTACTCGTCTTTCCCTAAAAATTTATCCGGAGAAATGACAATAGTGTCGGTGAGCGACAAGGTTTTCTCATGCGGAATCTATCTTCTTCTTCCACAGACGACGTGCCGTACATCTGGACGTCCGGACGTCTCTGCGACTTCAAGGGCTGCGAGAACCGACGTGACCTCGAGCCCAAGTCCCTCTACGGCTGGTTCTGGTCGGCGAATCGCGAGAAGATGGCGCCTACAAATCAGTCGCCGAACGGCTGGGGCTTCAACCCGTGGTCGCAGACCGGCCACAAGAAGGTCAGACAGCCGGACAATGCCGAGTACGACATCAACGGCACCAACGAGTCCTGCATGTCCGTCCTGAACAATGTCTACAACGACGGCATCGCCTGGCACGACGTCGCGTGCTACCACGAGAAGCCGTTTGTCTGCGAGGACTCCGAGGAGCTGCTGAACTATGTCGCCAACACCAACCGCGGTATCCGCCTTTAATGCGATCGCGGTCAGCCTTGACTCGCGCTGATCACGATCGTCCATCAGCGTCACATCAGCACCCACTCCTTCCCTCCTTTCCTCCCCCGACTCTCTGTCTTTCTCTCCTCTCTCTCTCTCTCCATCTTTCCCTCTCTAGACTTACCAACGCGGAGCCGACGAGACACGTGCCAATGGGGGCATGCGATTTCCACGTGGTGATCGTGTCATCCTTGGTCCTCGGGTGATCGGTCCTTCCCCAAGATCGCATTGGACGTTACATAGGATTCGCGAGCGCCATTGCAATAGAATTGTAATTTCTAGCACAAAAATTGTGAAATAATGTATCTTACGATGAAGTAAATTTTAGGTAATTGCCATTGAATCTGTTGATTGTCGTTATTGTTTATTCACATTATTGTTTTTTCATACTTTTAAATGAATTTCCTAAATTTTATAAATTCTCCGTTTAGGCGGCTTCTTCTACCCAAGAATGAAGTTTTCATGCGATAAAAGAGAGGAAATGAGAGAAAGAAAAAATAATTTTAATTTGTTTAATATGATTATCAAAGAATTCTATGGGAATTCTAGCGATTCTACGGGAAGACAGGTGCGTTATTGGTGGTTCGATTACTCGATGTTTGATAATGAACAACTTCAGAAACGTTTTCCAAACAAAATACGAAAATATATAGCTTAAAGTGAATCGTGCGAACGATTATGTCGTACAATGATTATGCTCATTGCGTTCATTGCGTTATTCGACGATTTCAACCTAAAGTATCATATAAAAGTAATCATATTTATTTGTATTAGCAAAGTTTATGGTACAAGAGAATTTTGAACTGACTGAACAAGAGTAATCAAACGTGCCTCGTCGCTGCGCTCCACCTGCAATCGAAGAAACTCCGCAATAATTTTTGTATCTCGTTTAATTTGTAATCGCAATATCCGCTGAAGAGTAATTAATTGTGTACATGTATTTATTGATAGGCATTTGGCTGGAGGTCTCTGTACATTTATGAATAAAACGTTAATCTTACATAAACTGAAGATTCTTTAATCGATATCACATCCCCTGTGTTTTATTCGCTTTAAAACACGTAATTTCTATAACATAAAATAGTTTCTTAAATTTACGTTATTCATTATAAACAAATTTTACACAAAGTCTGCTTTGTAGCGAGTTTTCTTAGCGAGTGATTCTTAGTGAGATCAGATATACACGGAGAAAAATAATTTGCTGGCCCAGCAAATTTTCTGCTGATCTAGCAAAATCTTTTCGTTATTATATGGGCAGCAAAAAAACTTGCTAAGAGTACTAATTACTATTTACTGGATAAAATTTGCTGAATCTATAAATTATTTTGCTGTAAGAACCATGATAGATTTATATATAGAGAGAACGATTTATTGAATCAAATAAATTTTTCTTTTGGAATCCAAACAAATTATTTGGTTGACACAATAAAAATATTTCTTTGGAACTAAGCCGCAAATATTTTTGTTGCTTCGAACAAAATTTTGTTAGATCAGTCAAAAAATTCGTTTAAACTATTTTAAAAAAGTATTTATTTGATTCAACCACATCGTTTTCTCTGTGTATAAGCAGTTGCAGTTTTGCTCCGATAGCAAATAAATCTGCTAAGGATACATTATTTTGCATCAATAGCAAATTAACGTAATTCTTAGAACAAATACACTCAACAAATTTTTTCTATCCTGGCAACGAAACTACTTCTACTCTGATAACGAATAATTAGTAAAATTATTTAATTAGTTAGTCAACTACATTTTTTTATGTCACTACGAATATGAAGTAGCAACGACGATTTTGCTAAAAAAGCAAAATTATTTTTCTCCGTGCATACATTAGAATATTACAGATCAAAAGATCTGTGTTACTATTGAGATATATGTTAGCTAAGATCCAATAAAAGAAAATAGGGAAGACCTAGATGGTCTATATTTCAGAATTTCGAAATTACAACTTCTCAGGCAACTAATTCTTGTAACTGACTGTACAAACATAATAAAGGTAACTTTCTTCTATTTTAAAGCTTTATGCCATCCTGAATGTCCTAAAATTATGCCTAACATTGATAATTTTTTGTGATAAATAAATTGTTCATTAAAAATCTATAAATAAAGAATTTTATTACACATATGTTACAGTATACCAAACAATTTTTCTTTATTTTTTTCATACAAAATGATGACTTACGGACTCCACTGCTAAACTATTTTTCATTCTCCGTGCAAAACGGTGTACAAAATTCCGGATGTACAAAAATGGCTGACCTTAGAGCAAAATTGAAAAAAGTATTATCATCTATATGCTGAAAACTCTTGAAGTATTTAGCTGTTTTGCAGTATATTGATTTTTTATGAAATGATGGACATTTTTACAAAATTTGTCATTTTGACTGAGAAAATTTCGTACAAAAATGTTAATTGCAAAAAGAGGTTTCAATATTTTGCAAAATCCCTACATAATTCAAAAGTTTTTTAGGATGATTATACATTTCTTAATACACCGTTTTGCATCGTTTTGTTGGAGAATGAAAAATAGTTTTGCAGTAAAGTCCGTCATTTTGTACATAAAAAAAAGAAAAATTGTTTGGTATACTTTAACATATGTATAATAAAGTGTTTTCAACAGATTTTTAATAAAACAATTTATTTACTCATAAAAAGTCAAAGTTAGGCATGATTTTAAGGCTTTCAAAGCATAAGGCCTTAATGCCCACCACAAACCTGTTAATAATATATATTGTTTTATAATAATCAAAATACGAACATAGCCTTTTAAATACGAATGTTATTTTGGTACCCAGTAACGCAGGATAAAGAAGGCCACGTGTAAAATATGTATCCTGATTAGTAGTTCCAGATTCTTCGCGAGAGTCCTCCACAGTTCTCCTGCTGGCCTTTAATTGTAGGCCGACTTTATCTTATCCATCCATATGCTCTATTTTAATCATTTTATGAATGGAAATTACATTTATCACTAAAAACAATATAGCATACACTTGTAATAAATTTAATGCTAATTAGTAACATATCGCTTAATTTTATTCAGTTATAATGGAGAATATTAATACAAAATTTCAAGAGGTTCGAAAATTTATTTCATTATTAGCAAATCAGTATTTTTTATTTTTTAACTGTAATATTATTCCAATTTAAATAAAACTCAGGAATAAATATTTATGTCCTAAAAAGATCATATTTTGCGATTTTTCACCACTATTCCTCTCAAGATAAATACTAAAAAAGCACGTAAGCGACATACTCCTGCAGCCATATAGCTTCGGTTTCCCTTATCCTAAATTTACAATGGTTGATCAAATTATTAGAGTTACACACATAAATTGACGATTTCATAAGCTAATATTGAATACCTGTTTGTTATCCTTGGTCCAGGAATGGTATCTAAATGATGAATATATATTTATAATTAATAAATTCTGCACAATGCCATAAAGCTAAAGTCACAGGATTTTTTAGTGAAAAAGAAGTGAATATTTTTGACTGGCCAGAAAATTTTTCAGATCTTAACTCTATAAAAAACTTCTAGCAGCTATTAAAATGAAAAATATCTAAGAAAATCGTCACAAATAGTAAGCAGTGATTAAGCGAATTGAGCGTCTGATTGACATATGGCACACAAACAAAGAAGACAAACTGTTTGAAATGTATTGAAAGTACAGTGATCGATCAAATTATTCCTCAGTACAAAAATTAATTTTTTTAAATTGATGTTGCAATAAACCCACATTATCAAAGTTTTTATTCGAATTAATTTTAATTAACTATTGCTACATGATATTTTAATTACAAAAGAAAACAAGTGAGCTTAGAAAATAAACATAATTAATACAATTAATATTTAGTAACATCTCCCTTGGCTGAGATGACTGTCTCAATTCTTCTAGGCATACTTTCAATATATTTCAAACAGTTTGTCTTGATTTCTTCGTTTCTGTGCCACATATCAATCAGACGCTCAATTCATCACTGCTTACTTGTGACGATTTTCATAGATATTTTTCACTTTAACAACTGCTAGAGGTTTTTTATAAGGTTGAGGTCTGGAAAATATTTCCTGGCCAGTCAAGAACATTCACTTTTTTTCATTATAAGTATTTGATCAAATATTTGATATATAATTGCAACTTGAATATTAACAAAAAATAAAAACAAAAAACAAAAACATACTCATGGCGTCGAAAAAATAAGAGATAGTATAGGCCACTGAGAAAATTCAAAGAACATTAGTAAATCACACAATCAATGAAGTATAAACTTTTGTAATTTTGAAGAAAACATTGTTTATAATCTAGAGAAATTATTATTTGTATATTAAAAGCACCAGGAATTGTTTATTGAGAGGTATTATGTGTACATAATACAAAAAATAAATACAATAAACAATAAAACGAATACTGAACATAATAAACTTAATAAACAACAGAAAGAAACGGAATAAAATTTGTCCTATATTTTACGCAAATTCTTTAAATTGTTAGTTATCTATCTTTTCATATCATTAGTACGTCTTGTATGAAAAACAAAATTTTTCCGTATTATTAAGAAAGTTGGGAGTGATTAAACAATTGAACGGCAAAACATTATTAATAAAACTATGTTGAGAGTGTATATTGAGTAAGAATATTAGTGAACTTATCATAAGCAAGCAAGAACAATTTGACTGCCATAATGTCTACTTTTAGGTAGAACGAAAATAAAAAATTGTTTACATTTCCATATATGTTTCTTGCCTAACGCTTAGCGTTATATATGACAGATTTTACAATAAATATATAAAACATTGCTTTTAATATGTTTTGTTTTTTTATTTTGAAATGATGTAATCATTTTTATAATAAATTTTTATAATAAATAATTTTAGAATAAAAAATAGTGCATTTAAATATTGATATTTTTGCAGGAATTCTAGATAACACGTACACTGAGAGAAAAATGTTTGGTATTTGTAACTATAATCATATAGAGAAATAATTACTATAAAATATGATCAAGACAACCATTTTTTAATCAATTGCACTATAATTGTAGTGATAATAACTTTATGTGCACGTTACTACTACTATCTTCGTGTTGGAACAACCAAAAAATATAGTTTGGTCCAATTTGGTGCCAACTATATTTTTTAGTTGTTCCAACGCGAAGATAGTAGTAGTAACATGCATGTAAGATTATTATCACTAAAATTATAGTGCAATTGACTAAAAAATGGTTGTCTTCATCATAATTTATAGTAATTATTTCTCTATATGATTATAGTTACAGATATCAAACATTTTTTTTCAGTGTATCATTTAAAAATGTTTTCGAAACGTTTTACAAATGGTTATGAAACGTAAAAAATTAATATTTCAAAATTAAATATCTTCACGAGTTTGGTTCACACGATAACGACAAGCTTACGGAAATTTTCTACCTAAATTTCAGCTTAATTGAAATACCGAGAGTTAAAATATTACTGCAAATAACGACCTTGAAAAGAAAAACGAAATACATTTTAACTGTATGTACCATACACTTATATTAAATATTTGATCATCAAAATTATATTTTTCTTCTCTTTATATGTTGTATAAATACATCTCAAAAAAACACTTTTGCATATTCATTCAGTTTGCTATAAAAAATTGTGAAAGAACAAGCACGGTTTTCAGGTAACCTGACCCTTCAGACCCTTTAAAAAGTATTTTGCTTAACGCGACGCCGAAAGTATATACCTTGTTGTCGGTACCAAGTATCCAGTTGATGGTAAAAAGATTCCGGCCGCTGATCATGCGAGTTTCCTACGTGGCAAGCGTCGGTATACCTGACTGAATCGACTGATGATAGCGCGCTGCACAAGGTTTTCTTCCGATTCTAAACGTCGTTATTATCGCACATTTTCAACGTCACCGATAAGAACGCGGTAATAATAGAACTTTTGTTTTTTAAATCGATAATTACCAAACATATAGTTCAATATCAGTCAAATTTTACATAGTTCGTGCGAAAATGTAC